GTGATGGAAAAGGAGGAAAAGGCGCTGATAGATTTATCTGCGCTCTTCGGCTTCGGCTGGCTCACTTCGAGGCGGCTTGGCGTGGCCTTTTGCCGCTGGGCGCTGCTTCGTGTCGGGTGACGAAATAGGGGGCGGGGCTCTCCCGCTCGTCTCGGCCGCTCTCGTGTCGACTGCGAGGCCCCGATATGGACCCTTTCTCCAAGGGCGCCACCATCTTGAATTGTCGTCACTTCCAGTATGGGCAAAAAAATTGTTTTGCCGTCGTCACGCCAGTAGAAGACATTTAAGATATAAGCGTAACCGTCACACAATATCGTTTTGCCTCCCCCTTATTTTTTTTTTAATAGTTACAGGTTGAAACGTTTTAGTATTTTTTTGTCGCCCATACCGGATACGCCTATTAGGTGGCTGAACGAGAGTACACAGAAAGGGTCTATACGCATGGCGTTTTGTGATTTCGTGAAGGAGGCAAACGGGCGCTACGCCGGTACGCCTGAAGGCAGACGTTGTTATTTCGAGTGCGCTCGTCTTATGCACGATCGCGAATTCTGAAGCCAATACTAAAGTGAAAGCTGCTGGGAAATGTCATGATTCGCCTGTATATTTGTTCGTTCAAGTTGTAGACTGGAGTTCTGTAAAAAAAAAAAAAAAAAAAAAAGTACGCAAACACGTTTTTGTGCTTGAGTACGCCCAAAGCTCCGGACTTGTACGCAATTGGGTTTAAAGGCTGCTTCATTCATTTGGTAGATGTAAAAGTTAATTCGATTGTTGTCATGGAACTATTGCATGCGATAGATCTCTAGATTACATTAAAAGAGATATTAAACGATTGTTTTGCTTGCGCTTAATATTGGTGATAACAAATCATTGACGTTCCTAACCTGCTATCTGACTCCCTGTTAGTCGTTCAATAGGAGATCATTGAGCAGAGTCCGAATACTGCCTGCTCCCGAAAACGTTTCGTGGGGCGGAGAAAGGTTTTTATTACTAGCTCCCATAGTAATTGGATATTAGTTATGATCCATTATATTATTATTTATCTACAGGTACAGCTCGCGCCGGTGCACGTCCCGGCCGTTTACAGCGAGAGCTATTTGTCTTTTTGGCAACGTTCTATATATACGAGTAAATAACAAGGGAAAGGGGGTAAGATCGGGACCTAAGCAATTAAAACAAAAAATTAAATATGCGTGCATGCGCGTGCATGCTCGGAAGCAACCTTCCCCGCCGAAGAAATTAAGGGCCCAGATTTTTTTTTTTTTGTATTTAACAAAACAAATATTGAAGAACTGTACACCATTTAGTTAAGTTGCATGACCGCGCCCCACCCTCGTCAAATTTCGCGTGGATATCGGAAGCAGGGTATGCGTGGCTAGAAGTGAAGTCATTTAAATAGAGAAGGTAAAAAAAACTTGCGCTTGCACCACTAGGTCGTAGTTTATTAATTAAAATTAGTGAACACAAATTAAAAATAACCATCCATCAAAAACTAATAAATGATTTTAATTTAAAAAAACACAACTTTGTACATGTAGTTTGTAAATATTTGTATACAACCTATTGGCAAGTGTGAACACAAGCACACGTTGTCTGAACAGCAAGCGTACCGAAGGCATCTGACACCGATCACGATTTTAAGTCAGGATTTATAATGTATAACATTTTACGAGGCACAGAGTCGGTACATTAGAACGTTCCAGATTTAATTGGTATGTGCAATGCAACAGAAAATGAGAGACGCGATAAAGAATATTAATATGCAATATTATGGTCGACACGAAGTTCTTCAATCGATCAGGCCTCCAGAAAAAAAGTTGAGCGAACGACGATAAATATAAAGACAGTCCGTTGCGAAATAGTTTTACTCGAAAACGAATTGCCGAGTATATACCGTCCTACTATTACGAAGAAGTTCGCAGTATTCTATGGAAAAACAAGATACACACACACGGTGGTGCATATTTAAATAATAATAATTCACACCTGAATAAACAACGATACAGACGCTCACTCCATACTTGCACGAAGTTGTAGCGAATGCTTGAAACGAACAGTGAACACTGTAAAGAATACTTCACGCGACTCGCGATGATGTGCCCTTGTATCCCAACAAAACGCATCTTCCTCAAGCGCTAGGCCAACGCGCGGAAGGAGTCAAAGCGGGGAAAAAAGAAAAGACAAAAGATTTCTTCACTTGGTGACGTGACAGATGGCGCCGCAGCAGCGGAAAACGGCAACCCGCGCGCAACACGAGCGCCAGCGCCGCGACTACGCTGTGGGCGAGAACTACTTCTGAGTGAGTGAGGTCGGATTGTGAGTGACTGAGTGAGTTCGATGATGTGTGTGAGTTCATGATTTCGGTGAGTTCATGAGTTCAGTGAGTTCATGAGTTTTGAGTGAGGACTGGAACGTGAGTGCGGCAGTGAGGGTGAATGAGGTTTCAACTTTATATTTTGAGCTGGCTGTGAGTGAGTTCAACCATGAATGCCGACCTCTGGCTGGAAGAGACGACCAAGTCAGTCCGGGAGGCAGGTTTGTTGCTCCCATAGAGAGGTCATGCTTTCGTTACACCGATCGGAATGTTTGGAAACTGTACTATTAAAATTATTAACTTTAGTTTTATGATATTAGCAGATCAAAATAAAAACACAGGCCAGCTGGCACAAGCCGCCGCCAATTCAAAGGATTCAGCCGTATTCATCCATCCATCCGATCATATAGAAAACGCTATGACTCGGCGGTTGATAAGACTCAAAGGTCTTCGCGCAATCTAGCTTCCATCTGAAATTTATTATGCCCTGCGAGAATAATACCACACTTAATAAAATAAATAAAGGCTAACTCGACTGTTCAAACCTGCAGTCAACGAATCGCTCAGTCTTCTTTCAAATGCATGCGCCACCTCGCGATAGGTGTACCGAACCTGACAGGTCGTCCGTGTCAGTGTTCGCCATTCCCATTTTCAAGGGTCTCGTTCTGGTTTTTCAAAAAAGCATCGATCTACGCCCTGAAAATTCACAAGGTAAAATCCACTCCTAACTACACATTTTATGGAACTTTGAGCTGGCTGCGTGCAGCAGGCGCACATTTTTTTCGTTTCATGTTGCAATCAGCGTCGGGACTAAAAACACCCTATCCCTGAAACAAAGGTTCCCGACTCCGGGAACTGAACCACTCGATCCAACCACGAGCAGAGAAGCCAAGCGGAAGAGGCGTTCCGTGTACCACGTAAACCCGGCACGCTAGGACCGTCGGTCGGAACAGGAGCTTCGACTGATAGCCTCCAAAGCGAGCCTGAAAAACGGACCGACCCCGCAGGCTCCCGAGGAGAAAACGAGAACACGATGCGCCGGCCGGAGCTAGGACGAGACAGGACGAGCCGAAACACTCCCATATTGCAGCCGGGCCACGAGAACAGTCGCGGTGGCGGCAACGGCGACGTAGGCAGAACAAAACAACGAGACGGGGCAGGCAACATTTCGTTTAAAGCAGCCGTCGAGGCAGCACGGAATGCAGCACATCCTGTCTCCGATCCATCACCGGAGACAAATGGCGAGCAATAGCACCAATAAAACGCTCTAACCCCGGCGAGGGCGCTGGAGCGAGAGGGGTGGCCCCTGGTCGCTCGCCCCCAGCGCTGCAGCCCAAGCAGAGCCTGACGAACGAGTCGTCCGGCGTCGCTTTGCTTATTGCGATGCCTGCAACGGAGGCCGCGGCTCCGGCGACGACGAGCGACGGAGGAAAGCGAATCCGACGGGGTACAAATACACACCCGAGTCGAAAACAATGCCGCATTATGCACGAGCACGAGCTGATCCCGGGGGTGGGGAGGAGGGGGGGGGGGGGGGTGCCAGGGAGCGGATGTTCTTGGAAAACGGGGAAATATAAAAAACGGGACCGGCGAAAACAAAGCGATTTTCGAGAAAATTTCCGGAACAAAAGGGCAGCGCGCGGAAACATATTGCGGCTCGCAGGGTTTGTTGTAAGAGACGCGGGGGGAGGCACGAGGTGCGAGGTGGATAGTGATGCTTCGTAAAAAAAGAAGAGAAAAAAGAAAGCCGGGGATGACGCGGGAGAACCGGTGCGCCAAGATGATGCTCCGGGGCGACCAAGCGGGACGAGGCGGCGGAGATGGCCCTGGCTGCACATGCCGACGAAGGGGCTCACGCGCCCCTCGGGAGTCTTCGCCGATGGTCTCTCTCTAATGGTCTGTGCAAAGTAGGATGTGGATCATGTGTCTCGTGCACCAACCAAGTCCCTTTTACGTCCCTTCACCGGTGTCGCCCCCGCCCTCCCCCCCCCCCCCTTCCAAAAAAAACAAACAAACAAAAAAAAGCGTTATCGAATTTTGGTTAGTAGAGGATCGTGAAACCGTCAAGTCATTAAGCTAACACAATTCAAGGAACATTGCATTCCTGTTGACGTTTAAATGATGCCGGTTCCGCAACAACTAAAACCTAAAATAAAAAAAAAATAAAACATTCTTAGGTTTGTGTTGGTTATATTTAGCTCATTATTGTCAATGAATTTAAGAGCAAAGCTATTGCATTTCGTTGGCGTTCCTTCTTGAGCAATCTCAGATTGAAGTCGTCTCATTGACAACCCAAGGTGGAAGGCTGCCATTTTCGTACTGCTCGAGCATCATTCAGGGGCACGCCGTGAAAATATTAATGATGGGAAGTGCAACTAGACGACCAAGAACTCGAAGCCCAGGCTACAAGGAATACCATCTAAAATAGTGGAAGACTTGAGGTAACTTAGTGAAATACGGAGGAACCACGAATACCCAAAATATCAACATACGGTAATTAAAAGGGCTAAAAAAATAGAAGAAAAAAAAAAAGATCCAAATAGCACAAAATTTGATGCGTCAGGAGGAGGATGCCTTATGGCCCAAAAGGCCAAGCCGAAGACGACAGTACAATTCCAGATGGATGTTCGGCTCAAATGTATACGGCTGCAATGCAAGTAATTATATCACGGAATATATTAACACTCACTTGAGATTTGTCGAAGTGTTGAAGCTCCCGGTCGCGAAGCAGACGTTCATAAAGAGTGCGCGCCATCGGCGATCGTAGCACTGGACGAAGTTGTGCCATGATTGGCGGAAAACCTGCACAACAAAAAGTCTGAGAATCAACAAAGGTCAATAGCTGTCGAATCGCAAAAAGTGTTTAAAAAACAAACAAAACAACGCCAGGCTTTGGAACTTGGTGAGTGATGTTTACTCACAATTTGCGCCTTAATAATTTCCCTCGCCAGTCACGCAGTCCCTAAACGACGCATCATTACTGGCGACCAGCCTACACTGGACGTCTCCGTATCCAGAGGCCTTTTAGTTTTACAGTATTGCTTTTCTCAAACCGTAGGCCACAGCACTGGTGTTGCCCCTCGTGGAGTTATGCTGCTCAGTATAGGATTCGGACTCGAAAGTTCGAAGGCCACGAAAATACCTATAAAACTCAAGGTTCTCGTATAATAAGTGTGTGTTCCACCAACCACGGAACAAGCCCAACTGCTCATACAAAACGTAAACAAAGGACGCGGTGGTCGTTGCACAGATGACGATAGAAGTACCTGCGAACAACCGTCAAGCATAATGTTTGCTTCTTACATGTATGCTTTCAAGATGTCCGCAAAGAGTGTTTGTATGACCAACGTGGCGGGACCACCAACACACGCCTCACGCTGTGTATGCAGACGGTCTTCTGGACGGTGTATTTCTCAAAATTACCACTGCGGCTTGATGCGTCTAGACAACCCGACTATTTACCCGCCAAGAGCCCAGAGTGAGTCGCTGGGCACGCACACTGACTGCAGTGTGGAAATAGTAGTTGCGGGAAATAGCATGCACAGTGTACAGTCGCCCAATTGTTTTAATAATATCACGCGAGCGTCGACCGCCGGGACCGCCAGCGCTGTGCCGCGGAGAAATGCGGCGTCACGGGAGAGATTAGGCGCGTGCGCACAAAGCTCTCTCCGGTGCGAGCGTCGTCTGCTAGGCTATTCTGTCGACCGCACACAGCCCCTGTTCCTTATCTGCTGGCATAGCTGACCGCCTTTAAGCAAAGATCTGAAGAGCGCCTGCTTGGGTGATACCGTGATACTGCTCAGGCGTGAAAGAAACCGCGCGTTATCTCGTTTAATTTAGTTTTTTTTTTTTTATTCTTTTATTTTTTGTTTGCATTTACTTTGTCAGAACCAAAAAAATAAAAATACGATGACGCGACAAGCTGAATGCAACGATGCATTAAACTGTAAACCACAGCCTATGCTACGAGCCATCAAAACCAATCCCGCGCTGTCACTCTGCCACGTGACATCGTGCTTCCGCGTGCAGTTGTGCCCAACAGGAAGGCCACGTGACACACTCTTAGCGATGGACCGGCCAAGATGGCTCGTAGCGTCGGCTGCGGTAAATCGGCGCAACGCGCTCCTTTGCTACGGAACAGGGGCTGTGTGCGATCAGCGGAATAGCCTAGCAGACGACGCTCCCCGGAAAGGGCTTTGTGCGCAGGCGCTTAATCTCTCTCGTGACGCTGCATTTCTCCGCGGCACGGCACTAAAAAAAAACAAAAAAAAAAAAAAACGGCACGAGGATTATTACGATACCGAACTGATACGCAGTGTGACAGCGCCTAAAGTAACATGCACGAGTATTATCAACAATTTCACCCGAACGACCTTTAGAGAAAATTTCTTCGAGGATGACACGAAATACGGTTTTACTTAGACGGATGACATACGAAAGCTCAGTTCATACGGTCGTGAGTGGAAGCTAAGGCGAACAAAGGCAAGTGTGACACACTTAACTGGCCACGCTTTCACACGCGGCAAAAACCTACCGGGCGCGAAATTGCGAATACGACGTAGCGCTGCGGTACAACTAACGCGAGCTGTCGGCGCACCGATTCCGGTTCGCTAAACTATAGAACGAGCGCGACACGTTCAAATCTTTCACATAATGCACATACCAGAGCTTAAACAAGATGTCCAAAAAAAGACCCCCCCCCCCCAAAAAAAAAAAAAATCTTTAACGACATATGAGATTGTTATTTGAACTGGGAATATTGATCGGTTGTGTCTAATAAGTATAATACCTTAAATTCCACGCGTTCTGAAGACGTGTATCTTGTATTTTATTTATTTATTAATTACCTCTAAAGGCCCACAGGGGGCATTACATAGGAGGGGGTACATGGAATGTCATAATAGTCGTACAATGTTGCAATTGTATGACAATATAAAAGGAAACAAAATGACGCTAACAGAACTCAATAATGCGTAACATGGTGCATGTTCACGCACACCGGCATGTAATGATTTCTAAATGAATAAAAAGTAATACAGGAGAAGTTTGCAAGTGCTACTAAAACGAGGGTACATGGAAAACCTTATAGAAAGGACTTACTCAGGGATGGTGAAATTAACAAATGGAAGTATGAAGGTACCAAACGTACACGTGCAACTTAGAAAAGGAAAACAAAATAGACGTCATGATAAAGAGCCACGTAACATTGAGACACACGTGGCATAGTTTGTTGACTGTGCGATTTCGTTGCCAACCCGTTCCAGTCGTCTATGGCCTGCAGAAGCGGGGAAAATTTATACAAGTTAGTTTTTGCGAAGGGAATATGGGGACTCTGTTGGGGTGATCATGACGAGGAAAGATACAGGGGGGGGGGGGGGGGGGGGATGACGTTATTTTCGTGAAATTCAGTTGAAGAGTGAAAGAGCTTATGGAAATACGATAGCCCAGCAAGATATCTTCTCTGCTGAAGTGTTTGTAAGCCAATTGAGGCTTTAAGTTGTGTGACGCTTACAGGTGCGTATTGTTTGAGTACGAATCGAGTTGCCCTGTTTTGAAGAGATTCTAGCCAGTCATTTATTGATGCGGGTTCAAAAATTATAGATCCATACTCCAACTTTGGCCTAACCAGAGCAGTGTATGCTAGTAGTTTTGTTTTTTTCATTGACATGTACAAATAGCACATCACTCGAAAAGCAAAAAGTGATTTCATCGCTAAATAAGTTCATCCATGATAATAACTGAGGTTGTTTTTTTACAGGATCGTATTACTTATTACCTTTTCTAGTAAAAATAGATAGGGTTCGAAAGGAACACAACACCTTATCTTTAGAAATAAGGTTGTCAGACTAGGTTTTAATTAAAATGGGTACTGCGAAAATTGCTGCAATATTAATCATAGCACAACACTTTAGTTGGGATAAAGCCTCTCTCCACTCCCAGTTTTTTTATCTGGCAGTGTAAATATAATTTCTGTAAATTGACTGCAAAAACCAAGATATGAGCTAAAGTATGTCTATCAATAAAAATGCGCACCCCCTTTCCAAGTTTGAAAAACCTACTCCAATATTATAAACTGCAAAAACAACCACCCGCAAATATTATTAAAGCCTACACAGGTGTCTTAGTATTGACAGTGCATCTTAGCGCGTCGGAACCAGAGTGAAGTCAAAATTCGCTGCTTTTTCGATCGACAGCTGAGCGGAAACTACCTTGACTACCGCATTTATTACTAAAAAGACCCGCGTTTCGTTTTACTTTGTAGTAGTTTTTAAAATTGGAGATCAACCTAAAATCAAGACCAAAAAAGGTAGACTTGGAACACTTCTGAGCAGAATTTTCGAGCCTATCGCATTCAACCCAAGCGCTCACCCAGGTCACCTGCTGCTCCTCGCACACGGGTGCAAAGCGGTAAAGCTCGACGCGCGAGCTGGTGAGAGGCGGTGAGAAGCGGTGAGAGGCGGCACGGAGGCATTTGGCAGACATGATAATCAAGTAATCTAATCAGGAGTACAAGACCCTGGTTCTGTCTTACCAGAGTAGTGACAAGATATGAAAGGGTCTTTCTTCACATCTTGTCACTCCCGCCGGTGCGAGCATACCTCGAATAAGCAAAAAGTTTCCGAACTGTACAACAAGTGCAAGGAAAGGAGATACCACTTTTGGAACGTTTCCTGCGTCATTGACGATCAAAGACACGATTAAGCGAGGAAAAGAGGACAACTAAAGACAACGAACAAACGGTTGGACCCACGGCCGAAGCATCGGCGCTGACAGTGGATGCGCGATCAGACCCAAGTGTATACTGCTTACTACAGGCAGTCCTCGACAGCGTCTCGCAAGGCCCAAGTTGCGGCACGTAAAAGTCAGCTCCCATTACAGGCCGGAAACATGGGGCTCCCTTCGACGCCAAGAAGAGCCCTCCAGCAGCCGATCGACGGGCAACTGGCCCCTTCCGCCTTTGTTTCCAGAGAAAGAGCGGGCAGCTCTTTATGTTAACGACGAACGACTGCAATCTACTTTGCTTCCACCGCCGCCGGAGCACAATCCCTCTCTGTCTTCTCCTTCGAACCTAAGCACATCTAAGCCGTGGCAGCAGCGGCGTCTTGGCCCGGGCGGGCCACGGAATGCCCAATTACAGGCGGCACTGAGGCCCCGCTCCCAGGGTAATTGCCTCGAGGATCGGCGGCCGGCGCCCCATCAAATATTCAGGGGCTAAGTCCCGCTTGACCGGCCCTAATTGGCCAGAGTGAGGCGCCATCCATTACCCACGGCCATCCTCCCACGCCGGCCATGCCACAACCGCGCCCGCTACGCAAATCAAGCCCAACCGACGTCGTTATCATATAAGCTCGGTGAAGACGTCTGGCTCGCAGCCTTGAGGCCAGGGAGGGTGGAGCGCCACACCGTCCCTGCGCCGGCTGCCGATGCGATGACGAGCCTCGCTTCTCCTGTCCCTCCTGGTGATTCATGGGGTTGCGGGTAGAAAGCAGACGAGGCTTCGAAAACCGCAAGAACAGGGTGGTTTCAATTAGAGGATGGTGTTAAAACGAGGCTGTCTGAGCAGTATGGCGTCCGATCAGTTCGGTGGTTTCTCAGTGCAATGGGTATGAGGCCAATAAACTATATAATGCTTGTGCCCAATAAGTATGATCAATAGGTGACGGAGGGAAATAGTCGGTGATCAGAGTTGCAAATTCAGCTCTATGCAGTGCGCGGAGCTCCGAACATTTTACAATGAGCAATTGCCTTTGAAGGCGATAGAGGAACGGTAGCGCCGACTGCTTGGAGAATGAGGGTATAAG